ACACTTGGGGACTGGAGAAATGGCTCAGCAAAAAAACACTTCCTGCTCTTCCAAAGCACTAGAGTTTGGTTCCTTGGGCAGCTCTGAATACCTGTAACTAAAGCTCCAGGAGGTCTAGCACCCTCTTCTGGCTTTTGTGTGTAATAGCACACATTTTGCATATGCAAACATGAACATCGTTTTAAAAAATTAAATATGTGCATTTGTATGTATTATGTGCATATTAATATACATGTTTAAATAAATTAGGACATGACTGTTCATTTTAAAAAGACAGTGTGTCTGCCTTAAAATTAATTTGGAGTGTTTATACTGAACCTCATTAAAAATGTTGCAGTATTGCCTCTTAGGAAAATAGAAGGCTCGATGATACAAGCCTAGGATATCTCTGTCTATGAGTTATCTAATTGCTGAAACTTTTAAATAGCTGTATGTTCAAGTTACTTTAAGATAATCATTGCTAGAAAGAAAACAAGAATTATAATCTCCAAATGAAAGGAAAAGCAGCAAAGGAAACTGTTCACAGGAGACTGCCACACTGCCTCTCTTACCTGAGAGCCTTTGGGTTGTTTGGTTTCTGCCTGCTTCTCTGGTACATTTTACCACATTTACCTTCACAAGTTGGGTCCAACAGGGCCTGCCTTTTCCTCTCTGTGTTGAAGGCATGCAGCACTGTGCACAGTTGTCTTCGTGTTTGTATGAAGGCTGTTGCCACAGAGTAAGCCGGGTCCAGTCCACATCACTTAGCCAATCCCGTCTCAAAATGAAAACGAGTGTCTGCGAAGGAGGTTAATGCTAGGCCATCTCTGACGTGTGAGGTATAGGCTCGGTCGCCTGTTCTATAGATATAAACCAAAGTATAAAGGTTGTAAAAATACATTTTATGTTGTAGATTGGGGTTTGTTTCAAAGACTTCTCATTATACATATGCAAAAATTTCAAAAACTGAACTATAAAACACTTCTCTAAACAAGCAGTTTAGAAAAGGGATAACTTAATCTTACTGTTTTTCATTTTAAATTCCTAGGGGAATACAAGATGCAGATTTGTATTTATTTTGTGTGTTTGTGCTGGGGAATCTATCTCAAGTCCTCCCCCTGCATGCTTACTGAGCTGTATTAAGCCCCCACCCCTATGGCAGGGTCTGTTCAGCCCCGGCTGCTCTTACACTAAGGATGCCCTTGCTTCCAGCTGCCAAGTGCTGGGACTATAGTTGTGGGCCACTGTACTTAGCACAAAAGGTATATTTTAATGCAAAGTCAGCAAACCTTTGGAAACAACATATAGTGTGAACCATGTGTACTTTTTTAGTGGTGTGAAGAAAAGGGGAGCGAATTGTTCCGCATTAGTGTGATTTCTTCCCTCCAAGTGTTATGAACATGTACAAACAGTGAAGGCATTGTGTAACTAGCACACGTAAGTCACTGTCTCCATCCTGTTAATATTTTGTTTACTTAATTTTTCTCTTGCTTTACCAGATATTCATTTATCCATCATTCTAACCTTCTTATTTTTTGATGCATTTCAAAGTAAGCTTTATTATTTTTTGCTCCTGGACACCTAAGCGCTCACATTATTAGCAATCTGATTTGTTGACTCTTTGACTTAAGGCTTAGCTCAAATCCTGATGTAGATATTCTCATGGCAAAGCTAACAGGATGTGCATCTGTGCCTGTTAACAAATACCACTTTATACCTTTGTGATCTGACAAAAGGTGTGTGTGCAAGGTCTCCTTAGCGCATTCCTGGAGTGTTGAGCTCTTTCTTTAGTAAACCAGTGAACTGGCAATCTGTTGTTATCAGCTGGACCAAAAGAAAACCTCAAGAATGCAGGTCTCTGGCAGATTTATTAGTGTAGCTGACACTTTCCCCTGCTTATCAGAAACAAACATATGACACTGCCCGAAAGTAGGAAGCCATAAAATACTTGGAAAAGACTTAAACATTAGGTAATTGAATGAATTGTTTTCACAGTGTTGTTAATTAATATGTAATTCTCAGAATATATTATAGTTCTTCAATCTGTATGTGAATATATATTATGCTCTTACACTAAAAGAGGGTCTTATGCCGGGCGATGGTGGCACACGCCTTTAATCCCAGCACTCGGGAGGCAGAGGCAGGCGGATCTCTGTGAGTTCGAGGCCAGCCTGGTCTACAGAGCTAGTGCCAGGACAGGCTCCAAAGCCACAGAGAAGCCCTGTCTCGAAAAACCAAAATAAATAAATAAATAAATAAAATAAAAGAGGGTCTTTACTAAAGATGCTTTAGAGTAATATTTAACTGAAAGCCTGTTTGTAGGACATTAAAAATCAAGAATTTATAGATTTATTTACTTAATGACACATTTACACATTTGTCATTAAATAGCATTTGGGGCATTTCTTTGTTTCCACTTTTAAAGTATCAGTGATAGCTCCTTAGGTGGAATATTGAATCCCGATACTCAGGTGGGGCTCTTTGACAGGTGTGTGTGCTGACAAGTGTTCTGGGCTCCTGTTGGAGCTGCTCAGCCTTCTCCCCCCACCCCAGTTTACCCTTCACGCCTAACAGTTGTTACTCATGTTGCAATTCAAATTTAAATCTAAATGTTATTCCCTAGTCCATTATATCATCAGACTTAATTGAATAGAGGGGTTTCCCCCCCTCAGAAATTCCTTTTGTCTAGTAAGTACACGTGTAAGGGACATGTGTGTTTGGTTTTGTGGTACTGAGGACTGAGCCTAGGACCTCACTTGTGCCAGGCAAGCACAACCCCACTGAGGTTTATCATCAGCCTTTGTTTGTTGGTTTGGGAGTTTTGTTGGTTTGGGGGGAGTTCATATGTATTTTGGATGGCTCTTTTTTCACAAAAATAGTTTTTATTTAAATTTTTGTTTTAGACTTATTTATTTTTATTTTATGAGTGTTTTGCATCTATGTAAATATGTATGTGTGTAGTAGACCACATGTTTGCATGGTGCCTGCAGAGATCAGAAAGGGTGTCAGATTACTTGGAACTGAAGTTACAGGGCCACCATGTGGGTACTGAGAATCGAACCACAGTCCTCTGCAAGAAGAAGTACTCTTGACCACGGAGGCATGCCTCCATTCCTCTGCCTTTTTATCGTAAAGCTTCTCAGATGTCCCTTTTTCATCAGGACCATCTTTCCTCCAGAAAATTCCACTGCTCTAGGAAATTTATTTTTAGCTAAACCCTAATAACCACCTTTGGACTCCGTAGTTATAATCGGACGTCCCTGTCTGCATTGCAGCCCCCCCCCACCCCCCCGTAGACGAGCGTGGCATAAACTGCTGTTCTGCTCCTTCTCCAGCCCCCGAACCCGAGGTCTCTGCTCTGCACCGTCTTCCTCACACTGTAAGAGCTTATCCTGGGTTGATCATCCTATTTGTGTTGAATGTTATAACAGCCCACGTCTTCCTGGTAAGGGAGTTCACTTCTCATTTAATCAAGATTGTGGATAGGATGGGATAGGAAAGTTAGCCACACACCAGAGGATTGCTTAAGACACCTACTGAGTGACTGTTACAAGTTCATCTCCAGTGCTGCTGGGATTGGGATGGAGACTGCTTCCTCTGTAGCGTCTGTCATCGGCTTCATCTCAGTGAGCGCTGGCCCAGTGCTCCCTGTGCTCCGCTCTCCTTCTCAGGAGTAAGGACAGCCATGAGCACCCTGAAGGCCGGTGCAGCGTTCACCCGTCATTTTCTGTCGCCTATGCTGGTTTTTTCTTCTGTGCCTTTAAAATGTTTAAAAAGTGGAATGAATAAAAAAGTGATTAGTTTAAACATTTATAAATGATCAAATACCATGTTTTAAAAATATTCAATAATACAATCTATTTGAAATATTAAATAAGTTTAGTAAACAGAGTATGAGCTATATTTTAAATTTCTATTTTAAGCATGAATCTGTAGCTGTATGTATGAAATGTTCATAAATGTCTGTGCACACAAGGATACATGAATCTGTAGCTGTATGTATGAAATGTTCATAAGTGTCTGCACACAAGGATACATGAATCTGTAGCTATATGTATGAAATGTTCATAAGTGTCTGCACACAAGGATACATGAATCTGTAGCTGTATGTATGAAATGTTCATATGTGTCTGCACACAAGGACAAATGAATCTGTAGCTGTATGTATGAAATGTTCATATGTGTCTGTGCACACAGGATACATGAATCTGTAGCTGTATGTATGAAATGTTCATATGTGTGTGCACACAGGATACATGAATCTGTAGCTGTATGTATGAAATGATCATAAGTGTCTGTGCACACAAGGATACATTTTGAAGGCTGCAAGCAAAATATTTAACTTTATTGTCCTTGGAATTTTGAATTATGTATAAATTGTTCATTTCAATTTGTTTTAATTTTGTGCAATGAGAAATATGTAAAACCAAAACAAGTTTAAAAACAAACTTTAGGAGTGAAGAGTTGGTTCAGTGGTTAAGAGTACATACAGCCTTGCAGAGGGCCTGAGTTCTGTTTCAAGCACCCCCATGGTAGATCACAATCACCTGTAACTCCAGCTCCAGGGGATCCAACACCCTCTTTTGGACTTGATAGACATTTGTACTTATATTTATAGACTCACACACAGACATGCACAGATAAATATAAATTGTAAATAATCAGTTTTATTGTGTATAAAATGTGGGATGATCAAAAAATCAGATGCAGCTAAAAATTATAATAAGAATTTAAGGGAGGGGAGCAGAGAAAAATGTAAAGCTCAATTAAAACAATCAATAAAAAAAGAAAAATAATTTAGGAACAGAATCATTAACTTGGATGTAAGTACAAAGGGCTGGAGCACATTTCATGAGCTCCTTTCTATTGCAGTCCCCGGTAGAGTTAGTAGAAATTAAAGTAAAAATGTAAGTAAAGATGGAGACCTGTGAACAAATCCAGGACGTGTTCTGCTTAGAACATTTTAGTTCTGATGTGAAAATTGTTGCTGATTTTGCTTTGCTTCTACTGTCACAAAACAGAAAGAAGAAGGCAAGCTCCAAGGGCAGCTTAGCAGGGCCGACTCCAGCCAGTGCATTCGGGAGCTGAAGGATCAGATCGCAGAGCTGACTCATGAGGTGAGCGATAAGTGTCTTCTTCTTCCGTCCTCTCTTGATGTAACACTTACCACCGACCTTTTCAGCCTGGACGCTGTCTGAATTATGACACAGTTATGAGCAGCTCAGAAGATTTTTATGTTCAAATATTACGGACTTGCCTTAAACTTTAATAACTTAAAAAGATCAGTTCCTTGCATGTATCTTATTTTCTTAGTTGTGATCTGAAAACACTTGGCTGTTACCCATGTCTTCAATATTCTGCAGTTATATTAAAATTTCCGCACCCCTAACTGACTGGATTTGTGGTGTTGCCGTTGGGTGGAGGAAGGTCTTCTCCCCCTTCATGGTGCTCTTACTGAGATTACAAAAAAGGATACTTGCCTCATATCAGTTCAACAGATTTCTTAGCCTTTTAAACTGGCACCTAGAATCTCTAACACTCAGCCAATGAAATTTCTCGGAATTTGACTGGCCCTTACACTAGCTTATTATTTAACCTAATCTGTTGTGACTGGAGATCGTTTTGTTAGTGCAGCCTAGGTCGATTTCCTGGTCTTTACTCTTTTCTCATGCTATGTATTCAGCAATACAGATAAAACTGTGTTTCTTGTTTTGAATATTTGTAAAATAATATTTATTTACCATAATGAGATTTGAAAGGATAGCATAAACTTGATTTGCTTTTTAAAATGAAAAAAGGAAACTCCTTGACCACTAGATGAATCTAAACCTCAAAGGAACAAGTGTGGACATTACCCTTTCCTGGCCTTGCATCCTTCGGTTGAGGCTGAGTGTTTGGTGAAATAACTTCCTGCCGGTAGTTAGAGTGAATATTCCTAGTGAAGAGGAAACAGAACTGAAAACAAATTTGACAGATTCACATGTGGTTCTGTTCCATTTCCTTGGGCACATCAGAATTTTATGACTGGTAATATTTGAGGGTGGTCAGGATCTTATGTATGCCTTGAACTCTACTAGTAAACTTTTAACAAACAACTTGTTTTATCTCTGTCACTATAGGTGTTCTGCAAATCCTCCCTCTGGCAACGTCTTGTGCCCAGAGTATGTTCTTAAGAAATTCTGACTGAAATAAAGCAATTTCCTGTAAAGTATAAGAAAACTAATATTGTTGGATTAAGAAAATTATATATAAATTGACTATATTTCTAAAACTAGCATAAAAATCAATCAACAGGAATTAATTTTGCCTGTCACATTTGGCTAAAAATAAAAAGGTTTTCTCATCAAGATAGAAAAGTACTCACCTGAGGTTTAGCTTTAATGCAATGATTGATCTGCAGAGGCGGGAGCTTGTATTGTTAGCTAGAGTGATTTCAAACTTTCAATCTTTTTGCTTCAGTCTCTAGCATTGGAATTATTGGTGTGCTCCAGTAACTATGTATGTGCAAGGTAGAGGTGTGTGTGAGAGAGAGTGAGTGTGTGAGTGTGTGTAAGAGAGAGAATGTGTGTGTAAGAGTGTGAGTGTGTGTGTAAGAGAGTGTGTGTGAGAGTGTGTGTGTGAGAGAGTGTGTACGTGAGTGTGTGTGAGAGAGAGTATGTGAGTGTGTGTGTGTGTGTGTGAGAGAGAGAGTGAGTGTGTGTGTGTGTGTGTGTGTGTGTGTGTGTGTGTGTGTGTGTGTCATTATGGGTGCTCACTAAGGACCATATCACCACTTCATCCTCAGTCCAGCACTGGACCCACACTATGGCAGCACTTAAAGCCAAGATTTAAGAGTCATATATTTTTAGGTCTGAAATGTTTTTAAAATTTATGTAGAGTTTTACTAGATATGTAAAGAAATTAGGGTCAAAGTCTTAAGGAACTTACTTATAATTACACAGTTGTTGATATGAGACCAAATTCATGTCCCTGCAAAGGGCTTCATGTATAGCACCCCACTCCTACAGCCCTGATGATATGTGTGATTGTACACGTTATTAGCATACAACAAGTTCCTGTTTGAGTGAAAACGAGCCACTTCCCTCGGGGCACATTATATCCCGAGAGTAGAAATGTAGTTTCATCTTGTATTCCTTCCCTTCTTCTGCGAAGTTTGGATTTTCATCTCATCCGAAACCGAGAAATTATTCCCTTGACCTTGCCTGCTCCTCAGGTTTTGGTGGCGCACCCTAAAATTTTAGAGATAAGTGTCTTCTAGACCAAGGCCGCTGCTGTTTTCAGAAGCAGGAGTGGATGGGAGCAGTCTCCGCAGCTCACATGTCCCTGCTGCTAACAAGTGACCACACAGCCGCAGCCGTTAGACTAACAGCTGAGTATGTTCTCTGAAGAGCCCAAACTTCTGCTACGTAGGTTTTTTTCCCCGTGTACAGGGCTGTATATCTTTCTGTTCATTCCCTACCTCAAAAAACAGCATAATTTGCCACATTCAGGGAATACTATTAATTTTACACAGGCTGCCTTGTCTTAGCCCATATTCAGGCTTGTGTTCTACTGTATGAAAAGGTCTGCCCAGTCCTGTGTATGCTGTTGATTACAGGTACTTTTACCTTCTTAATGAAGTGTGTGCATCTGTGGTATTGCTCTCATTAGAAACTGGTGTTAATTCATAAGAATTTTAAAAAATTAGCCCTGGTGGGTGGGGCTGAGATGATCTGAACCCTGCTTAAAACTCAAAATAAAAAACAAGAGGAAAGAAGCCAGAACTTAGAGAAAGCAAGAAGAGTTCTTGGGAATACACAGATTTGCTGAGGATATCTAGGAACAATCTGGAGAGATGGCTCAGGGATTCAGAGCACTGGTTGGTCTTTCAGAGGACCTGATTCAGTTCCTACCACCACAGTAGCTTATAATCTGTTACTTCAGCCTCGGGATCCCAGCACTCTCCTGACTCTGAGGACATAAGGCATGCACATGGTACACATACATACATGCAAAAAACTTACAAAATAGGATAAATCTTTTAAAGAAATCAATAGAATAAAATCAGAGCAAGAGGCCAATTTATAGAATATGGGGGTTGGATCCAATACTTAGCTTTATAAGGTCAAGTACATCTCTTCCAAAGACATAGCACCCTGGCCACAGAGCAGGTGCGTGAAGTTGTGCAGTGACTAGAATGTTGAGCTCTCGCCGCGGTCCCTGGCGGTGCCTAACATGGACACTGATGGAGAAAGAGCCTCTCTGCTTTCTACGTCCTCTGGCTTCTGAGAGCTCTGCCACTGTAGTAGGAACTCATTGGAGATCACACTCTTCGCAGTGTGAATTTGGCCATGGGAATTCTCTCAAGCAGGTTCCAGTGTTGGGTCCCCCTCCCTGTACCCATCCTCCCCTGCAGCCTTCTGGGTTCGAGAGTGTCTAAGTGGTATTATGCTACATGAGACGTCTCGAGAGAGAGTCCTATATTATCCGTGACAAACCCTCAGGCAGCGTGATGACTTACATGTAACTCCAGTGCTCGGGGCTGAGGCAGCAGGATTACTGCAAGTCAGGAGCCAGCCAGAACTACAAGTAAGATTCTATCTCAAGAAAAAAAAAAAACAGAGGAAACTGAGGCATGTTACTTAGAAGATTGGGTGCAGTGGCTCATGTCTGTGATTCTAGCACCCGAGAGTGAAGCAGGATGGCCAGGAGCACCAGGCCAGCGTGGGCTGCAGAGTGAATATTATGTATACAGTATTCTATCTGTGTGTATGCCTGCAGGCCAGAGGAGGGCACCAGACCCCATTACAGATGGTTGTGAGCCACCATGTGGTTGCTGGGAATTGAACTCAGGACCTTTGGAAGAGCAGGCAATGCTCTTAACCTCTGAGCCATCTCTCCAGCCCCCTATCTCAAAATTTTAAAAAAGGGAAAAAAAGAAGACTGCCTATATTACAAAAAGTAAAAGCAAGTGGCAGTATTTTTCGTAGGAAAACAGCTTACTGTGAGCTCTATGGAGGTGTATTCCTCACAGAGGGTGGGGGAGCCCTTCAGCACTCCGAAGGAGACCATGCGGTTGCCTGCTCTTAGGACAGCGTCTCATTTACGTGTGCATCTCCACGATTCTAGCATCAGCATTGAGTGACACTCACAGGACGCACTTAGGGCTTCATTCAGCTTGGTAAGGAGTAGTAAGGATAACCCACAGGGTAGGCATCTCCTGCCTCTTTGGGGCTCCAGTTCTGTACTTCATGCTCGTTTTTAAGTGATGTCTTCCATTTAAAAGCTGACAATTCCCACTCTTTCCTTTCACTGATCCACAAGCCAGAGATCTTGGTCTATAGTGTGAGTTTCAGAGTCTCAGAGCCAGTTTGTTTTAAATTCAATTGAGATGCTGTTCTATTTTTTTTAATATTTATTTTTTATTATGTATACAATATTCTGTCTGTGTGTATGCCTGAAGGCCAGAAGAGGGCACTAGACCTCATTACAGATGGTTGTGAGCCACCATGTGGTTGCTGGGAATTGAACTCAGGACCTTTGGAAGAGCAGCCAATGCTCTTAACCACTTCTCTCCAACCCCCATCTTAATTTTTTTTCAATGTTTATGTATTTTTATTTTGACACTTACTTTTCATGCTGCATATTCTTAGATTAAGAGGGCTAGTTTCTTGAACTTTGATTTTGGAATATGGTTAGTCATTTTAGAATTTTGTTTTCTTTTAGATTTTGAATTTATGGGGATCTGCCTGCCTTTGTCCTTCTTGTACTAGGATTAAAGGTATATACTTCCATGCCCAGCGAGTAACTTAATTTTTATTTATTACTTTAAAAAATAAGTACACAGTGGTAGCTTTTTTTTTTTTTTTGCAAATTAGGAATATTTACTAAGTATTGGTTAAAGGAGCTTTGATAAAAGCAGAACTGCTGGCTCTCAGATTTACTAAGCACAGAGTTTTCAGCTGTGGCTGAGGTCTCTAAGGCAGTAAATCATGTGCTTCTCGTGGACAGTATCTCACAGATGCAGTTGGGCGTGAGATAATCAGATTTTCTCTCCCCACGAAAGAACAGCTGGAAACGTCTGCCAGTGTCCGCATCACAGACTTGATGTTGCCCTGCCGCCTGTCTGATTTAAGCT